TATCTTAAGGATAAATACAGGGTCTTCTACTAAGTTATCAACTGCCCTTAACTAGCTCTCTTCCATTTGTCGTGGTGATCACGACAGTCTTTTGTAGGAAATCCCAGTTAAGCAATGTGTCTGACCACATTAGCAAGGCTGGATCCATTGTCCTGTTCTCTAGGGAAGAAGCAACCAACCAAACAAAAAATCCCTTGTGGTCAACTTCTACAAAGAACTGGTCTTAAAAATCAAGCTCCTGAATTCCTATGTAAACACTTAAGTGTTTGGCTTCCAAAACTGCAAGCAACTAGCTGTTCTGATTTGAAGTCTGCATAATTTGTGGACAGTGGGATATTTCTGAAAGCCAGGACAGTTGGGGTGCTAGGTTGTAAGAGCCATGTGTCAGTTACCTTCAGTTTTTTCTTTTTGAATTTGCTGGTGTTGCTGAGAAGTGGTCATTATGGGCAATTATTCTTTATTTAAGCTTAGGGGAGGGGGCAAAATTAAATTTTCTTTATTAATGGAAAAGTGCTCAATGTTTGTCCTCATTATAGACTTCAGAGTAATGCCCAGGTCCAGTAAGGTGAGTATCAGCCACAGTCTTCCAAATCAATTACTAAAGTGTCTTCATTATGTTGTTTTTTTCCCCAGCAATGAGATTCTCATTCATTATTTTATGATTCTGTCTTGCTGGTCTCTGCACCAAAAAGCCATAAATATGCCAGTGCGTCTGTGCAGAAGATCTCCGTTAGGGCTTGGTCTAGGACCACCCACTCATTTCTCCTGATCAATCCAGTAGCTGTCATAGCACCTTATCATTAGCTACCAAGCTGGACTGGATGTGAACTGGTGACCAACAGGTGAAAGGTATTTTGTATCCCATTATTGATGCTCAGAGCTGTCAAGTCCTTCCATTAAAATCTTCTGAATAACGTTTTTATCCTTCAAATAAGTCTGCTATCATACAGTTGTAAACTTATACTCTTTGCTTTGTACAATTGCCAAAGCATATGGTTGTGCATATGCAACTGCACACCCTGCTGCTAGAAACTGGGAGGTTTCCAGTGCCTCTCAATCCCTTCATTTGTATGGGTCAATACACATAACGGTGAGCTTGCACACAGAATGCCTTCCTGCCCCAAACTGGTATTTTTCAGCTGTTGAAACAATTATTTGGAGTTTATTTGAAAGTTAGACTTCTATTCCCTTATGCCGTATGCTTTATTTAACATAGAAAACATACAATAGGAAGGGACAGTGACAGGGATTGCTGTCTTAATCTAACTACGTGGTGTGTACATTCTGTTATGGTAGTTAAGGCGTACATTGGTTAGTTGAAAAAAGTATATAAATGCTAAATTTTAATTGTGAAACAGTCTAATTCTGTCAAGTGATTGGAATTTATATCATTTGACACAAAAATAATGTGTATTAAATCTATGCTGAGATATTGACATTTTGGCAGCAGGTGATAGCACCAAAGAGGACATTTTAGATAGTGCAATGCAAGGTTCCTCAGCATGCAGTTCTGCAAGAAAATGCTTTTATTCTTTTTTCTAATTTTTGACAAATGGATATATGAAAATGTTGACCAACATTAACAAATGGAACCGTACTGATCTTTTGTAGTCAGATCATTTTATGTCTCGGGTGATGTAGTGTAATATTTTTCTCCCCTTTATCTGTTAATGAGTATTTGAGCCTGTTAGTATCACAATCGTTCATTCCTTTGATGCTATGTATGCTGTCACCTGTCATTGTTATGTACTTCAGGTCTCTTGACTGGTCTGAACTTGAGTGCAGTGTGTCATTTAGAAAGTGCCAAAAAGAGTAGAGCATGTTTGTATTTTTGGTGTTCCCAGTGAAGGAAAATTTATCACGTCCGATAAATGTTTGTGGCCTTATAGTCATAGTTCTGTAGGCAGAAGCTACATATTTTGTGACTGTATTCAATGAACTGTCCTTTTATGGTCTAGAAATAGACAAAGAGACAGAGTGCAACCAGCTAAAGCTAATGATGATAGTCTGGTAAAAAAAGCAATGATGCAAAATCTGTAGATGTTAATTCTGTTAGTATTAGTGATATATATGCTTGGTGACTGTCATTTTGAGGCCTCAAGGCTGGACTTATATATGTCATGGTAACTTTTATCAGACTAAGAATGCCAACCTTGGAGTTAAATGTGCAAATTTCAGTGTTTAATTTTCACTCTCCCCCCAATTATTTTAATGTGAAAAATTATTTTATACTATCCCAAACACTACATTGTGTTGTCAACTGGAGATTATTTTCTTCTTCACTTTTTGTTCTCAACTATGGTTGTATGGTATTAAAAAAAAATGCATTTAATCTATAGATGTGTCTTTACTGCACTAGTAGATGAGAAAAAAAATCAGTCTGGGTTACATGGACTCATGGAATGGTTTGGACTGGAAGGAACCCTAAAGATCACTTATTTCCATCCCCCCACCATGGGCAAGGACACCTTCCACTAGACCAGGTTGTTCAAAGCCCCGTCCAACCTGGCCTTGAATGTTCAAGGAGGGGGCATCTACAACTTGTGAGCAGCCTGTTCCAGTGTCTCACCACTCTCACAGTAAGGAATTTCTTTTTTATAGCAAATGTAAATCTACCCTCTTTCAGTTTAAAACTGTTACCCCTCATCCTATCCCTACACTCCCCAAAAAAGAGTCCCTCCCCATCTTTCCTGTAGGCCCTCTTTAAGTACTTAAAGGCCACTATAAGGTCTCCCCAGAGCCTTCTCTCCTCCAGGCTGAACAACCACAACTCTCTCAGCCTGTCCTCATAAGGGAGGTGCTCCAGCTCCCTAATCATCTTCATGGTACCTCCTCTGGACCAGCTTGAGCAGGTCCATGTCATTCTTATGTTGTGGGCCCCAGAGCTGAACACAGGACTCCAGGTGAGGTCTTACAAAAGCAGAGGGAGAGAATTACTGCCCTTGACCTGCTGGCCATGCTTCTCTTGATGCAGGATACAGTCGGCTTTCTGGGCTATGAGTGCACATTGCTAGCTCAGTCAGTTTTGCATCCACTACCAATACTCCCAAGTCCTCCTCCAAGAGTGGAGTAGAGGGGAAGAATCACTTCCCTTGACCTGCTGGTCATGCTTCTTTTGATGCAGTCATGTTTTTTTGTTTGGGTGGTTTTGTTTGGGTTTTTCATTTAAAAAAACCCAACAAAACAACAACAGAGATGAGAGGCACTGCAGTATAAGATAATGTACTCTACCATGTAGTTGCACCATTTCGTTAACATGAGCCTTGTGCCATGTGAATATGGTTTTAAGGTATATGGATTTACCGAAGAAAGTTTACTAAATAATAAGGTTCCAGTGAACATTCATTTTATTAAACTGGAATATGGTAAATGATAAGCCGTCTTGTATCGCTGCCAGGATGCTCTACTGGAAATACAGCCTCTATGTTAGTTTTGATGGAACATGGTCTTGATATAGTACTTGGTGTGCTGCACAACTTCTTTTTCTCTTTTTATTTTATTTTATTTTATTTTATTTTATTTTATTTTATTTTATTTTATTTTATTTTATTTTATTTTATTTTATTTTATTTTATTTTATTGTTTCTAAGGTCCTTGAGGGAAATACTGAAATCTGGATCAGCTGGAATCATGAACAGACCTCATTATGATGCCTGTGTTAACTTGTGGGATAGTGCAGGATGTATACAATATCTGTTTTCAGACAACAAAACTTGAGAAAGCCTATATGCTTATATCTGTGAAATAACACTTAAGGCAACTCTGAGAGGTGCAGACCACAGTGCCTTTCTTCCACAGTGGTTAAGCTTAACTGTTCTTTATTCCTGAGGCCTATTTTATAACACAAACTACAGCAACTAATTTAATGGGGATAGGGATAAACAGGTTACAGGTATCTTACTGGACAGTTGACTGATTTGTGTTTGAGTATTAGATGAGGCTAATCCAGTACTGCTTTTCTCATCATGAAAAGAGTAGTGACTTCTAATGGATCTGCTCTGTCACTTATATACCATAATGCAACTTTAGTGTCTTGGTAATTTCAGTGATAAGAAAATCTGTGGATTAGAATATGTATGTTCTTTTTACCATCGTTTCTGTTATTTTTTTCCTGACCATTTTGTCATACCATTGACCATTGTTTTTAAAAATTACCTTTTCTATTTCAGTTATGCTTTGTGGTTGACAGAATTGATTTCTGATTAAACCTTACTTCACACAGTAAAATCAGAAGTATTTTCTATTTTTTTACTTTCTAAATTAAAATTGAAATATTTTCTATTTATATACCTTCATGTGTAATGACTTTACTGTTGGCTGTGTATATATGTTATTTAGGACATGAGGAAATAGAATGAAGCTGTGTCAGGGGAAGTTCATATTGGACATAGGAAAAGTTTAATCACTGAGAGGGTGTTTAGTTGCTGGAACAGTCTCCCTAGGGAAGTGGTCATGGCACCCAGCCTGTCAGAGTTCAAGCATCTGGACAACACTCTTAGTCATATGGTTTAGTTTCAGGTAATCGTGCAAGGAGCAGGGAGTTGGACTCAATGGTCCTTATGGGTCCCTTCCAACTTGAGATACTCTATGATTCTATGATTTAATGGAACTCAAATATGTTTTCTTCATTTCATCCCTCTTTTTTGACTAAAGCTCCCTCCTACCTTCAATTCTGATTTTAGCTTGGGTCTGTGTAAGGCTCATCCTAATGCCTGTCCAGAAAAGTAGCATGGAGCTTGATCACCCAAAGCCCTTTACAGTACTTTCTGCAATACATTTCTACCTCTTCCTTACTTCTTGGACACTGGTGATGTTGGACAGAATTCTTCCTCAGTCTGAATATCTGCAGCATAAAGTAGCTGACCACAAAACTTAAACATTCATCTGTACTTACATTAAGTCCAGTGATAATAATAGTTGTTTTTCTGTAGTGCCTGGAATTCGGAAATTGTAATTGTACATGATTGCTCCATGGTCCCTTTTTTTTTTTTTTTTTTAAGGGACGCAAGAGTGAGGCAGAAAAGTACTTTGTGAAGGCTATTCAGCTGGATCCTACCAAAGGAAACTGCTACATGCATTATGGTATGTTTCAGATAGATAGAGTTTCCACACATATTCCAGGCTTGCTGTTAATCTCTCTGAGTGATTAAGGATTTGAAAAATGCTACTGGCAAAATACCATCTTTAATGGGAAATAAACTAATCTACCGTGTATAACTTCATCTCCATTTCAATTTTTTAATCACTGCAGAGTGAGAGGTGAAGATTTTCATATTTTGCATGGTTTTCCTCCTCTGAGGAATATCAGTATTGCTGCCTCTCTAGGAAAGAAAAAAGGTGACTGTTGCCATATGTCAAAGTTTCATGGCCTGGAATATTATTATTAACAGTTTTGGCCTAACTTCGCTGGCTGCTGGTGGGTGAGCAAGTTGTCCTTCAGTGTGCGTGAGTTCTTTATATCGAAATGTCTGCTTTTTTTGAGGACTTATGGGCCTTACATCTACCTCCTTCCCAGCATCTTCATGGCTTGAAATGGATAAGTATTACAAAAGCTTTTGACAGGTTAGCTATATCTTTGTCATACTAAGCCATACATGTGCATAAAGCACAGTTGATTTGAAGGTATCTTGATAACTTTGGATTGGTTTTACTAGATGTGCAAAAAATATTTCCAGATGTGATTAGTCTCAAGGAACCAAAAATATTCAGCTTTATGGACTAATTCGTATTGTATTTTAAAGCTGATTATAGACAAATCTAAAAAGGCAAGCTATGTAGTCCCAACTGGAAAATACAGAAAATAGTAATAAATTTCATTTCATTAAGGAAGAAGGTAGGGAACCACAAACATGCTCTCTATATATATCTTTGTATAATGTTTTAATTTCATCTTCTGATTGTAACTGGTAAATGTAAAATACATAAAAATGAGTGGCCAAAAGGGAAAATTAACCTCAAATAATAACCATGTTTTTACTTTGTGCAATATCTTCATTTGAATTGCTCACACGTCATATTTCTGTTTGGTCCTATGCAGTGTAAAATTCTGTATGTTAGATTCCCAGAATCAGTGCATATGTTGTTACTTAGAACATGTCATGGTATTTAAATGAATGTAGCATTATGGATCATTGCAGCTAGCAGCCTTGTCTATTGTTTATGCCTGTACAGGTAAATCTGATAAGGCTGTTTGTGCACATAAGCTCCATTATTTCAGTTGGATATAAGTATAGTTGATATCTCAAGATAATGAAGAAAAGTTGCGGCAGATTGTTTCTTGAAATCCTACTCAAGCCCTTTCCAGCCTCTGTTATTAAGAAATCTATATTTAGTTATTAGGAAATCTTATTTGCATTCAAATTCAAAGGTAGATCTAAATATTGCATCCTGGCAATTGAAGTTATGATTGTGTATATTGTATTACAGGTCTAGACTTTGTTCTTTTACTTTCATTACTGCCTGTCTTTTCCTGCAATATTCCTTCTGTCATTTTCAAGTGTGCTATAAACTAAATGCAAGGTTATTCAAATCATCATTCGTCTCGGATGTATGGACTTCTTACCAGACTACAGTATTAAAACAGTGTGTTGTTTCTTAATTAAGGTTATTCCCTAAAAACTTTAGCAAACTTTTCCTTTACTGTGTCACAGGTTCAAGAAGTGTCTTTGTGCAGAGGTCATTATTGCAACATAAGTGAGTTTCTGCTCAGCAGATTAGGAGTGAAGGGCAAAATTCAGTCATTGTTTGGAATACCAGCATAGTAAAATGTGATGCTGAAGGGCTGTAGACACAAGAAGGTTCTCTATACCAGTCACTAAGTCTCTGCCATGAAGTATTATACATAGAGAACTCTACTGAATGCAGGTGAAAACTTTTCTTTTGATTGTATGACTTCTGATCACTTCACCAAATTCAGTGATGTCACTCCATGTTTAGATTAAAGTAGCTATGAGAAAGACACAGTTTACTTCTGTTTGGCTTATGTGTCTATGTAGTACAGGTGATCTCAAAACCTTCTCTTTTCAGGCACAGGACTTTGTAACATTTGAAATACTTTATCCTTGTTTTCCTTTGCCTTTGCCTTTGCCTTTCCTTTTCCGTTTCCTTCTCTTTCTCTTCCCCTTCCCTTTTCCCTCCTTCCCCTTCCCCTTTTTCGTCCTTTTCCTTTGCCTTTGCCTTTCCCTTTTCCTTTCCCTTTCCCTTTCCCTTCCCCTTTCCCCTCCCCCTTCCCTTTCCTTTCCTCTTTAT